TTGTCTCTTTGCTTTTATCCCCGTTTAATAAAAACCATCTAGAACGAGCCCGGAGACGGACAAAAGACAACAGAAGAGTACTTTTCAAAGTTACTTATACAGAGAGGCATCTCATTCTCCACATGACCAACGCACGCTTCGCTCCCCAAAAATCCTGTACAAATAATTAATTATATACTTGTCATCGAGTCTATTAATCACTACCCAACATCTCCATTCAGCTGGTGGCAGCAGAGGGTTCACAATGCGTACGTTATCTGACCCGTCTATTTCAAACGGCTAAATTGTCTAATGATCCAAGGTACAACAAAAACAAGAATTAACCGGAATAAATGTAATAATACAAAAGGAGGGCCAATTCGAAAAGGTTGGGTTGAGGTGGGAAGTTAGTGTCCGAGTGATCGAAGTCACGATAGCTCAAGTGGTAGAGAAGCGGCGTATTTAGCCGAAGGTCGTGGGTTCGAAACCCGCTCGTGACACTGACTTTTTTATCAGATATCTTACATAAAGATTAATTAATTGAAAGATAAAGGGTTACTGATTTCTGCTTAATGAATGCATATTCACGACCTCATTGCAATGGAGGCTATCTCTCTTCTATTTTATTCTTTCATAACGTGATGTAATAACAACATACCCAAACTAACCTTAAGGATGAAAAACGTCATAAAAACATCACCCCCAACTATTATTGTCTGATATTGGTCGAAAAGATCGAATTAGATTAGAAAAAATTGTGTGATTCTCCAGACAATCAGTAAGCTCAATTCAAGTGCATTTATATGTGCAAAGTCCAGCTTACATAAATCGATCATTCTTTCTAGGGATATAAAATCAATTTTTGAAGTTATGTTCCTGGACACCAATGTCTTTAAATTTAGCAAGATCTGGTGTTTAAAAACATTTGGAACAGTGTATTTTTTGAATTTCAAAATTCACTTTTGTTACTGATAAAATGCCCTAGGGCTCGTTCAGATTCAATATATAAATAAAAGAATTTTTAATTAAATAAGGGAACAGTCTACAATAAAAATGTGCAACATGTGTCATTCTTTTGAAGTGGTTTTTAAAATTGTTACTGCGCGTACAGACTGTAATGATTACTTTCCAATTAATTAATCTTTATGTAAGATATCTGATAAAAAAGTCAGTGTCATGAGCAGGATTCGAACCCACGACCTTCGGCTAGATACGCCGCTGTTCTACCACTTGAGCTATCGTGACTTCTATCCACTCGGACATCAACTTCCCATCTCAACCCACCTTTCGAATTTTCCCTCGTTTTTGCCATTTTTCAAATGTCGTGTAATCTATTCGATTCTCGGCGACAAATGAAACAGCCGCGGAAAGCTTTAGTGAAGATATACTTCATTTTACTTATTAAGTCCATTAGATTTCGTGGTCCGATTGATCAAATAACTTCTTTCCAATTAATTAATCTTTAAGTAAGACATTGGTTGAGACAAAAGAGTAGATCGAAGTCACGATAGCTCAATTGGTAGAGCAGCGGCGTATTTATCCGAAGGTCGTGTGTTCGAATCCCGCTCGTGACACTAGGTTTTTTATCTCAATCAATGCTTTACTTAAAGATTAATTAATTGGAAGGAATTTGTTTAGTCAATCGGACCACGAAACCGAATCTATGTAATGATTACATTGTGGAATGGAATATTCATTCGCTTGATTGTACTGTTGGCCATAATTAAATTTAAAAGAAGAACCATTTTTTCACATATTCAACATACCGAACGAAGGCAGTTGAACCATTTCCTTTCTTTGGACATATATCTGTTTCAAAACTTTTATATTTTAGGACTTTTTAATTTTTTTTTTTAAAGTAATGTTTTCACTGATGACCATATTCATTTGGTAGACATATACCATACATAATAACAAATTAAATCGATTATATTTCGTGGTCCGATTGGCCAAATAACTTCTTTCAATTAATTAATCTTTATTTGAGATATTGGTCGAAATGAAAAAGTTAGTGTCATGAGCGGGATTCGAACTCACGAGCTCAAGTGGTTAGAGCAGCAGCGTATTGAGCCGAAGGTCGTGGGTTCGAATCCCGCTCGTGACACTGACATTTTTATCTCAACCAAGACCTTACATAAAAAGAATAATTAATTGAAAGAAGTAACTTGGTCAATTGACCACTAAAACATAAATGGATTACCATTAAAATCAAAACTTTCGATATATGCTTACTTACTCAAACCTTTTTGGTTCGGGTCCTAAGGTTAAAGATCGACCAAATATTCCAGTATTTAAATAAGACAAAGTTTTCAATCAAAAATTTTATAAATTTCTCCTGCCCCTTTTTATGTAACCTATAACCCTTCACAGAGATCTTCACATGCCAACTGTTCTTTCATCCATAAAAATATATTACAGACGTTTTCATTGCCAGTAATGTCACAATCACTGAAATTCAATCTGCTGGTTGTATGTAACACATTGTTTTAGATGAAAATAAGTGAAGTCGAAAAAAAGGAAAACTATTCTGGATGCCTGTCTTGCTAAGTCTATAGGCAGACGTCTCGTTTGTTGGAATTTTAACCATCTGGGAATTTTTCTAATTATTTAGTCTTTTATAAGTTCTGCTGAAGAAACACGTGAAATTTTAATGGCAGTAGTATAAAAGAAGAAAAAACTTGGGGCTTATCTATTTTATCTTTGAAATATGCAAAACTACGACCCGTTTGTGGATGAAGACATATTTTCCTGATGCTTGTTCAATATTAGACATTGAAGACTTGTTGTTTACAGTGTCCTATCAATTTTATATAAATTCGAAACGAGAGTCGTGGGTTCGAATCCCGCTCGTGACACTAACCTTTTCATTTCGACAAATACGCTTACATAAACATAATAACAATGTTGAACTGGAACGAAATGACTCAAAATTTTCAAAAAAAAAAAATTATATAGCTAAAAGAATATGTTTTAATACTATCAGATAAAATTAGTAATAATTTAAAAAGTTTCTCTACTTGTTCTTTCAAGGGTAGAGAAATAGTGTGAGCTATCTTTAATCTGGTAAAAGTGGTCCCATGGGCGATGGGGGCACCAAACCAACGATCAGAGTGCACCGGAATATTTATCTTCCACCTTCCCAAACCACTTTCTTCTCTTTCTTTTCAAAGTCGTTTATTTGCCCGAGTTGAAGTCCGGACTTTAAACGGTTTCACGATGAGTGTGTCGATTGTATATAAATAATCAATTCGAAATTCTTTATCAATCCCTTTGTGACAAGGACAAAAGAAATTATTAATCAATGATCTAGAAAAAATAAAAGGAAATTATGCCTCTTTTGGCAAGAACTCTGTCAACCGTTACGACCTCATTATTTTGGCATGAATAAACGCATGCATTACCATAATTGCATTTATTCATAAATCGCCGTAGAAAAGAAGCACATCACTTTTTGTAAATGGTGGTCCTACTCACAGATCTGTTGTTTTCCAACGATCCGGATTTTTAGCATTAAACGCTCATCGTCAGGTTGAAGGAGTCTCTCGACATGAATTGTAAGAGTGAACTGATCTCCCGCCAATGAGAAACTGATTTTTCATGCCGTCTTTGAACTATCGAAAAACTTGAATTACAACTAAATATTATCCTTATATTTACTATAAAAAATTAAATTAAGGATTAATTTAGGTTATTGGTAGAGATAAAAAAGACAGTGTCACGAGCGGGATTCGAACCCACGACCTTCGGCTAGATACGCCGCTGTTCTACCACTTGAGCTACCGTGACCTCGATCCACTCGGACACTAACTTCCCATCTCAACCCCACCTTTTGAATTTTCCCTCCTTTTTGCCATTTTTCAAATGTCTTGTAATCTATTGGTGCTCATTGATAGTGTGCGTTTCTATGCGACAGAGATGCACGGGTCTTATCACCATTCCTTGGACCTAGCAGATGTTAACTTTCTTTTGCATACCTAATTTTGTCTTGCAATTGACCACAATCTTTGAGCTAATGGTGTTTGAGCTTAGCGCTTTGATGGCTCCTTCGCTATCTGACATGGCAGTTATATTCTTGGTTTTGTACCCTTTATTCAGAATGAACTTGATTTCAGCTTGGAAGATATTGGTGTATTTTCTCATGGGTTTGTGTATTTAGTTCCACGACCGAATACTCCAGCCCCCGTACCTTCTTGCATTCTAGATCCACGTGTGAACCATTAGATGGTGGTATTCTTAAAGGAAGTGGTTTGCTCACTTTCCGATTCCTTTTTGGTAGCTAAGTTTATTTAGAACTTTGGGTTAAACGCAAACATCCTGCTCATGTCGTCTCTTGGGGCCAGGAGGATGGTCTTTCATTAGGTTGTTGCTATCTCACCATTTTAGTTTTATTCCTATTCCAGGTTTCTGTTTCATAATAAGAATAATAGTTTTCTGTGCTGTCCTCGTTATCATGCGGTGGAGGAGGATGAATCCCAGTATTTTCTTCATACCAGATCTTTTAGGCAATTTTACGTGTTAAATATAAATTGGACATGGAAAAAATAAACCAGCACATAAAAAATATTGTTTTAGTCCTGTAACATCAATAAATTTTTTAAATAAATAAATGTACAATATTTTATAAATATTATCAATTCGGAAAAATAAAATAAAACATAAATTTGATTACCGACTGATGTACTTGCAGTTGGCCGTTTTTAATCATATTGTCTGTCACACGCATTTTGGCATTTCGACAACTTTGCGTGCTGTGTCTAATAGACCAAAATGGCAAGAAACTACCATACTGTACTTACAGACCCCACGGAGAAATCACATAATTTTTTGCACTTATTACGCTAATAAATATATTCACTCATACAACCAATACACAATGATGTAATATTTTATATAAAACTATTAATACTAAACTTTACTTTACTAAAATTTGTTTCTGACTTCGCAATTTCTTTGATTTGTCTTCGGTAAATTCATAATCGCTTAAAAACACGGTTATTAATCTATCTTGTCATTGTTTCCAGGTGTCTACAACAAAAAATGAACTACAGGGAAAAAGAGAAACAGGTTCTAGATCAAATCCTTGGCCCATCGAGTTACGACGCTAGGATAAGACCTTCTGGTGAAAACGGAACAGGTATTAAACAAAACATATTAACTTTTTTTTTTTAAATAATAACTTACACAAATCCAGGCAAGAATGTAAATTTACACCAGGAATTTACTTCCTTGTTGGTTTTTTGCCTATATTGAGAAAATTTAGAATTTAATCAAATGTCTTTAATAAAATGTAGTAATCGGACATTAATATGATTTTTTTATACACTGTCTAATGTAATAAATAATATGTATATGATATATGTTTTGTAATAATGTATAGAATGCACATGGGTAACACGACACGATACAAAAATTGTAATGAACGAACAGAAGCAGTCTAGACTTCCCTTAAGTGTACAAATTTGTAAGGTTCTTTTGAGGATGAAAAGCCCTATGTTCTTTTATCAAGACAACCCCCCTCAGCCTGCATCGATTGCAACTTGAGACAAATTGTATTGGTGTGAGAGTTGAAAATAGGGCAAAAATATCGAGGGATTTGGGTGTCTAGGAGGTTGGAATAGAGTGCCCTGGAAGTAGAAGATTAACAAAACACTAAAAACTATTTCTCAAACAGTTTACAAGGTTTACAAGGGTATAGAACGTCTTTTTTCAGATATATTGATGGTATTGTCCAATTATAGACAATTGAACAATAGGGTTGTGTTAAAGATATCGCGTGTCAACTTTTCACATATTCCATTGCAGATGGCAATGACACGTCACTTAGCACCCTCGGCCCTTCTGAAGTTTAAGGGCGTGAAATATCCGCGGCGGTGTCCAAAGAGTGCATGAAGTGTCCTCGACCCCGGCCCTTAAAAGGCGCTCTCATGACGAGTCCGACCTTAACTAAATTATGCAAATTCTCGGTGCTCTTCTCCTCGCAAGACTCTTCCTGCAAAGGCCGAAGAACAAAGGGCTGAAGAGACCATTGTTCTTCACACTCACGTCTAACTCGCCGGCTCTTTCCTCTCTTATCCGGCAATCGGTTGAAATTCTCGTTTTCACTTTCGATCTTTTTATAATCGACAATGTTAACCATTTTTTCTCACGGGGGTTTGGCAATTGTAACTTTTTTTTTGTCTCGGATTGACCCCAACATGGTCGAATTAATAATTTTGTAAAAGGCTATTCCTCCCGAAACAAACAGCCAAGACATAAGCGCATAAACTAACCATATAATACCATGTGTTTTGCCTAAAATCAACTCATTCTCTTTGGGTTTTCAAGACAAATTCTATGCAGGAAGGACATTTTACAAGTGCTTCATACGAAAAAAAACCCTCTTAGCTCTTTGGAGAATCTCGACTCGTACCCAAAGTGCAACCACTTTTCAAAATTTCTTACGGAAAGAAAGTGTGGGAGAGTAAGTTCATGTGTCCATTTCCATGCTAGACACCCTTTTTCGTGGGTGTTTTTTGTCATACAAAGGTTCAAAACGTCCTAGGCCAAGTAGTTTTAGATGTTTTTTCAATTTTTGTTATTCATAAAATGATAAGATGGTCGAATTTGAACCTCGCGTTGTAACAAGCTTTGGGTATCTTGGAAACAAGATTTATCGGTGCTATTACCTCTTTATTATCAAAACCTTTCAAAATTTTTAATAATTGATATTAACTGAAACATAGGTTTTTTTACTTAATCGGCAGGTATAAATTTGAGGATTGAAAGGCTAAAAAACCTTTTGTACTAGGAGATTATGGTGCTCTTCCTCTTATGGGTTATAGTTATCAAGGTTCAGATTTTTTACCAGACGCCTTAGTTTTGGTTTTTTAATTATATTTGCTGGAATGAGCTTTTCTTTGCCCTACATTAGAAACCTACTGCCTTTACAGTTACATACATGTATTGCAGTTGCCTTGGCAGAACCTACAAAAACGATCTTCTGACTATCCGATCTTTTCGTATGTCTATAGATTTGGCAGTATCTGCTGAAGCAGGTCTGTTGTAAGTTTAGGGAAAATTTCTTTTTATCTATTGTACCTGTGGTGTTGGTTCCACCAGGTTTGAGTTATTTTTGCTGATCTATTCGGCGTTGGTACTTTTTTTATGGTGTCTTGATTTTTTGGTTATGATGAAACCTGGCTTATCGGCCATACCCCGACAGCCGAACAAGAGACAGTTCCATGTTCTTATTTCTCCTAGTAGACTCATGTACACCCGTGTAATTCCAGTATTTCTAAACGGTTAGGTACAATGTTTCCGATGTAGTAATCAGATTTTGTTGGCAAAGAAAAACACCCATTTTTTACAGTTTGAATAACTTCACTAGTTTCGTGGTCCGCTTGACCAATTAATATCTTACAATTAATTAAGTCAATGGCACGAGCGGGATTCGAACCCAAGATCTTCGGCTAGATACGCCGCTGCTCTACCACTTGAGCTATCGTGGTATCCTTTTTCCCCTCGATCCTTTTTCCCTCCTTTTTTCAAAAGGTGTGGTTGAGATGGGAAGTTGGTGTCCGAGTGGATCGAGGTCACGATAGCTCAAGTGGTAGAGCAGCATCGTACCTAGCCGAAGATCGTGGGTTCGAATCCCACTCGTGCCATTGACTTTTTTATCTCAACTAAAAACCTTAATTAATTGTAAGTTTGAATAACCTTAGACGATCTTTGTCTTCCATATTCGTATATTGTGTATCTGTGCTCAGGGAGATTTTATTGCAGTCTCCTGGTAGTTGCTACAACCCCGTCCTGTCCACCCCTCCTTCCACTGTCAATTCTCAAACGACCTAATATCAGTTTTTCATCCCTCCGCGCACGCCTTGTCACCCAATTGCGAAAGTCCGAGACGGTAATAGCCAACTTCCAGGCGACGTCCGCCGCTCCTCGTACCGCGTTCGACGTAATTGTTTCCTCCGCCGCCGAAACAAAAACACAAAAAAACTGAAAAACAACAGCTGAAGACAAAGATAAGAGTTGTGGAGTTGGCTTGACATATTTTCGACCCCGGCTGTAACAAACTCGTTACCCAACCAGCCGGCGTCTTCTTTCTAATTCCTCCCGACCTCCCACACTCAGGGCTGGGGAGTGATTTTAGTTTGCCGGAACAGGCTAAAAGTCACAATAGTTTTCCTAAAGTCATTTTATTATTATTTTTTTATATATTTCCTTTATTGACCCCTGATTGCTCTGACGTTCTTAAACAAAAACATAGGGTGGCAATTAGTTTAAGAAAGAATGTATCACTGGAAAGAACCATACCAGTTATACATAAACAAATGTTTATTTATTGTGAGATTTGTTTTTGAGCTCTGCGAGATGGACCGTACAGTGTCGTTTCCGTGAATACGCCATCTTCAGTGGTCTGTTCGTTATTTTGCCAAACTGCCTATAAGTTGGACTGGTTTATTACCACTGACGCAATGCGCAACAGACACAACCGGCGAGGATAGGCTGACCAGGAGCGAATCATAACAACATAAATTACTATCAATTAATTTATCTTTGTGTAAGGTATTGGTTGAGATAAAAAAGTCAGCGTCACGAGCGGGATTCGAACCCACGACCTTCTGCTGAATACGCCGCTCCTCCGCCACTTGAGCTATTGTCATTTCGATCCACTCGGATACCAACTTCCCATCTCAACCCACCTTCCGAATTTTCCCTCCTTTTTTGCTATTTTTCAAATTTTGTGTAATCTATTCGATTTTCGGCGAGAAATGAAATGGCCACGGAGAGCTTCAAAAAGTGGAAGTGGTGTCCGAGTGGATCGAGATCACGATAGCTCAAGTGGTTAGGGCAGCGGCGTATCGAGCCGAAGGTCGTGGGTTCGAATCCCGCTCGTGACACTGACTTTTTTATCTCAACCAATACCTTACATAAAGATTAATTAAGTGAAAAAAGTTATTTGGTCGATCGGCCCACGAAATCTAATGGACTTAAAATCAATTACTTTTTGCTACGGTAAAATATCCTCGCTGTGTTAGTTCGTCAGATGTGGTTGTGGTTTCGCCATAAGAAGTCAGTTTATGTCATAAATTAAAACCGTAAAAAAAAACTAGAAAAGAATCAGGATTAAGAAACTATTATTTTATTTGTGTTTTGGTCGTTTCCCTTTCTGATCCGCCTGTACTCGCTGTTTTGGTCAGTCGTGTTGCTCAACTTCGGTGGTACATCAGATGGTAAACTGATAGATCTATGACCCAGGAAGGTATAGAGATAAGTGTGTTCGTTTCTGGAACGAAAAACCCATGTAAAATACACCAGTATCTTCCAGACTGAAGTTTATGCAATGCAGAGATGTACTCAGTCCAACTTGAACAAAAGGTACAAAAACATACCTATCAGATATACCTATCATGTCATATAGTCAAGCAGCCATCAATACACCACTAAGTTCAAACACCATTAGCATACCATATGGTGTTGGATTGCAAAACTAAATTAAACAGATTAGGTATGGAAAATGAAGTCACCTTCTTTTGGGTCCCACGACCTTTGGGACTAAAGAGCAATGAGAGAGTGACGCCGCCCTGGCTCCGGCTGCTGGACCGCCGATACGTCCTGACCCCTTCTGTGGCATAGGGATTCACATTATCTTAGATAAAAGGAAAAAATGAAAATGAGGAAATGGTGGAATTTACTCATTGGACAGAAACAATCCAACAACCTTCTTGCAAATTTTGGAAAAATTTGAATTGAAACAACAGAATGCATCAAATGGAGCAAGAAAAATATTCGCTCCTGGCAGGATTGGTGACTGAAGGGGCACCTGAAGAAGAAGATTGGTATACCACATGAACGGGCAAATTCCATAAAGTGGAGGAGACACCAAACACCTACTAACAAACTTTGGCGCCTCAATTGCCCACAGGAGGAAGTGTTTTGTTGTACAATGTCAACCGTAGGAAATTCAACCACTGAAACCGGACCTACTAATCAAATTTCTTGATGAACTAGGACTGACTGGTTTCCTATAGGTATAGAACGGGCGAAACAGCAGCTCTCAAAGGGCAGTATATTAAACACCATGAGCAATACATCTTACTGTTGCAGAACTTTTAAAAAAAGTACAATTTTGATTAAATAAAATACAGA